ATTGTTCCGAAATAAGGGTCTAAAGTCCCTCAAATAAAGTCGCGCGTGTGAAAACGCGTACCGTCAATTTTAACGATATAACGCGAAACTTCCGAGAAATTCATATAACGATTGTACTACTAACTATCACTTGAGTATTTATTCATAAGATTACCTATTTTAGGACCATAGTACAAGTCTTCAATATTCCAAGCTTATTGTGCTACTACGCGGATAAAATCTCCAAGTACTATTCACTATTTTTACTAAACGTACTCCAGGAAATTAATTTTCAGAACGAGTCACTTTAAAAATATAACGAAATTATATTTCCATGTATTTAGGTCTAATAAGGCTAGAAAATATTCCGCGTGGCAAAAATCCAATTAAATAGTTTATTAAGCCATAAATTAGGCACAAAATAATAGTTTTTATAATAACATCTTTTCTAATAACATGCCAAAATTTTTGGAAGAAGATCGGAGACATACCATCTGGCCCTGGAGACTTGTTAGGATGCATGGAATTCACTGCATGGCTAATTTCCTGTTCTGAAACTGGTCTGATCAGCTTTCTGTTCATCTCAGCAGTTATAGTCTATGGGATCCCTTCCAAGATATCACTGAAATCAGTAGGATTATCAGTCGTGAACAATTGCTAAAAATAGTCCACAATTTTCTCACTTATCTGCTCCTCATTATTGCACCACTCCCCATTTTTCCTTTTTAACACATTAATTTTATTCTGTCTTCTCCTGCTCATCACACTAGCATGGAAAAAACTAGTATTCTTATCTCCCTCTTTAAGCCATTTGAACCTTGTCTTCTGACTCCAGTAGATTTCTTCCTTCTTATAAGCATCCACCAGCTTCCTCTTTAGCCCTATAGTCTTTACTCTATCTTCACTATTATTACTCTCCCTCAACTCTTTGATCTCTTTTTTGATCTGATCTATGTATTTTTTTTGAATTCATATTCAGTTTCTTATTCCAGTTCAGAAGATTTATTCTAACTTGCTTTATCTTGCTTTGCACCCTATACAGTCTAGACCCCTACTGATTAGTATCCCATGCTTCCTTTACCACTTCCCCCACACCATCTTGCATAAGCCATCTCTTGTCGAACATAAATCTCCTTCTCTTTTTCATTTCTACATATGTAGTATCTAAAATCAAAACACAATGGTCAGAAGCTTCAGTTTCAACATTAGTACACTTAGCCTTTCCAAAGTTGTCACACCACTATTTACTTCCTATTATCCTATCAATTCTCTCTTTAATCTCTTCCTTCTTGTCCTAGTTATTACACCAAGTCCAAGGTACCCCCTCAAACCCAATATCAATCAACATATTCTTATTGATAAAATTGTTAAAGATTTCAAAGCTGGTATCTGACCTGGTTCTACCTCCCCACTTTTCCCCATTAGAAGTGATATCATTTGGATTCCCCATGATTGCCCAACAATCACCCCAAATTTGTTTTCTTCTCTCTATAACCTTCCATTGTTGTTCTCTAAGTTTATCATCTGAACTAGCATATATGCACACACACTACCAGTCTCTTTTCCTCTCATGAACAGCAATTAACAACTCGATAATAAAACTTGTAAACAAAATGTTTTTACATGAACATCATTTTTCTAGATAACAGCCAGACCTCCAGCAATACCAGCTGGATCTGCTACAAATAGGTTATCAAACTTTACCCATTATTTAACACTGTTCATAAAACTCTTCTTTAGGAAAATGACTAACACTCAATAGCTTACATAAATTAGAATAGAGTAAAACTAACAAAAATTTTGAAAAATGGAAATAAATAGGTAAAAGGACGGTGCAAGGCATACTATTTTTATCGTGGAAGCATAAATTTGGATTCAGAAAAATTTAGGAACAGAGTATGGATTTAGTCCCTCCTTTATATTTTTTCAATACCTTTATAAGAAAATAATTAACTTATTTCTCCATGCTAAACAAATGGGGAAAGGGGCTCAATAAGAGCTGATTTCTTGTAGACGCCAAAAACTTGTAGGCGCGTATGCGACAAGAACAAGCAAAGTTTACAAAGTCTTTAACTTCAACAGCAAAGTTCACTTATTCTCTCACAAGAAAACTTCAAAAAGGTTGTCCCAAATTTGGACCTCTAACGAACATCCATGAACACCTATCTTTAGCACTATAAAATATAAATACTCCACGAGACTGCCTAAACTTTTCCATCACCAGCAAAAGCTTTCTTCAAGCTTTACATACGTCACCAGGCATCAAGCAATCAAAACAATTAAACAAACATCTCGTGCAAATAATCACACATTTCCAGCACCAAACAGAATCAAAATCAATGGCAGAGAACGGTGCTCGAAAGGCATATGATGAAGAGGTGGCCTCAGTGGCTGAAAGGGAAGAGCATCGCAAGAAGCGAATGAAGCGTTTTGCATATGTAGCAGCCTTTACCATCTTCCAAACTGTTGTAATATTGGTCTTTGCACTCGTGGTGGTGAAGGTGAGGATGCCTAAATTCCGTGTGAGGTAAGACCGGACCTTTACGGTGACAACAACACAAGGCTTTTTACCTACTGGACTGTAAATTGCTCATAGATTTGTTCTTCTTAAATGAGTTTCATTTACTATTAGTTGATGAGTGACAATAATGGCTTCTTATGCATCCCTTGACTTAAAATTTGCAGAGTGATGCATATCAGGCCATGGGTTGCTACAATCTACTTTGCTCAAGATTCATTCAAATCAATAGTGAAATAGCAATGGGTGCAAGCATCTTCCCTGTTTCTGCCTTTCAAAATTCTCGAAAGCACTGGTCAAAACTTGAGGTTCGTCATCCAACAAACAATCCCATTTGTCCCAAAAGAGACTAATCAAAATCAAAATACAGCCACAAATTTCCTCTGTTAAAATCACCACCAACAATTTCCTCCAAAAGGGCCACCAATAAACTATCAAATCTTGCTCCCAATGCATTCACCATTTCACGAGTCACCCAAATCAACTGAGTTTTCACCATTTCATGAGTACCTTCTCTTAATAGCATGTAAGTGCTTAATGTGAACTTTGACCAAGTGGGGTTGACATAAAATTCCACAAAGAATTGCTTAATGTGGATTTTGACTAACTGAGTTGGAAGTTTTAAAGGAAAAAGGGGTCTGAGTTGGGTTTCACGGAGAATCTGAAACTCAAGAAAGAAAAGGGGATAGATAGCTTGAGACCCTCCCTTTCACTTCGTTTCACTTCGTTTCACTCTCACAACTCTCTCAATCTCTCACCATTGAAAGATTTAAGTGGAAAATTAGGACCATAAATTCAAGATTCAGTCTACCCTACCTATATTTGACAAAAAATATTGAAATTAGATAGAAAATATTGAGATGATTTACCTCAAATTATGCCTTCACTGCCTTAGCTCTTGTTTTCCTTAACATTCAATCTTCGAACTTTGGCTTTCCCCCAAAATTCACGGCCAATTTTCTGTGTTCTTGCCAGCGAGCAAGTGCTGCACCGATCTAGGGATTTTTGCTATCTGCGAGGTCAATGAAGCTGCCCAAATCTTTTGAGTAGCTCAAATTAGGGATGAAAATAGTGATTTAAAGTGATTTTGTGGATAATTTCGATGATAGTGGAGTATAAGAAGAGATGGTGAAGATGATAGTATTCGAAGCTTTCAACCAGAGGGAAAGGAAGTGTTGTCTGAAAATTTTCTAAGTGTTGTGAGTGTTTTTGTTCAGTAGTTGCCAAAACGACGTCGTTTCTGTTTTATTTTACATTCCCACTCTCTACATCTTGAATTTTCAGTTCCCGCCTCTATTTTAGCAAAGTACAAAAACTAACGCTTTTAGCCTCTTTTGTACAAATTATTTGAACCTTTCTTTACAAAAATAATGCATTCTCTAATACCTCTCTTTTACTTTTTTTCCATCTATGTGTGGAGTGTTTAGATACCAAAATTAACTCAAATAATATTTCGCTTGCATCATAAACACATTTCCCAACCTACCTTTTTATATTTCCAATCACCTTTTTCTCTCACATACATCACATCACAAAAAGTGCTACAGTAATTATTTCAAATAATACACTATCCAAAATTGTTTATTATTTTGAGCTTTTTAACTCACAAGTTGTATTAAAACTTTATTTAGTGTATTGAAACTTTAGAATATGAAATTTTAGTGTTTTTAGATAATTTTTTTTACTAACATAGGATTTTTTTGGACTCTATGAAAAAATAATGTTCAAAAAGTAAAAACTTATTAAAAATATGTTTATGATTCCAAAAAATCTTTTAATACAAATATTTTTGGTATTAATTTAATAATTTTATCAATTATGTACGAATTATGGTTTGCCGGGAGCCATGGTGGAGAAGGTCCTGGCCCTACGCGTGTTCCCAGGTATGCGGGACAGGATGATCTGGGCGGCGTCCCAGTCGGGGGAATTCTCCATCACCTCGGCGTGGGAGCAGCTTCGGGGGAAAAGAAACATATCCATGGTGGACTCCCTTGTATGGAGCTCGATTATCCCAAAAAAGATCTCTTTCTTTAGGTGGAGGGCGTTGAGGAACTGGCTGCCATTGGATGGGATATTACAGCAGCGGGGACGTCCTTTGGCGTCAAGGTGCTCATGTTGCGGGAGTGCGACGGAGACCCCTGACCATCTCTTGGTAACCGGGCCAGTTGGTGGGGCAGTGTGGAGGTGTTTTGCAGGTCGCTTCGGAATTGTGACAGAGGGGCATGGGGTGCAGGCTAGACTCGCCAGCTGGTTCTTCTCCCACTCCTGCGTGAGCAGGAATCACATTCGTGTCCTCCTCCCTATGGTGGTCCTATGGTTTCTATGGAAATCCCGGAATGCGGCTCGCTTTGAGGGGACGGCCATGGCCTCGGGAAATATTGTTTTGCAGGTTAGCGCATTTATCGGGCAATTGGGTAGGGGAGGCCGGTTACGCCGGAAGGACTTCCAGGGGGATGCGGATTGCGAGTGGGCGGCATTTGGCAGAGGCAATCGACGGTAGGTTATGCCCCGAGCAATTACTTGGGCGAGGCCACCCAGATATTCAGTGAAACTGAACACCGATGCGAGCGTCACCAAGGGGCTGGCCGCCGGGGGAGGACTGGTGCGTACCTCAGATGGCGACCTGGTTTTTGCATTTTACAAGGAGTTCGGGGAGAGCGATGTGCTCACGGCAGAGGCATTGGCGTTATTGGAAGGTTTGCGGTTATGTCATGATCGGCACATCACGCACTTTGTGGCTGAGGTGGATTCGAGTGCTTTGGTGAGTCTGGTCTCTTTTTACGGTCCTGCACGTTGGCCCTTGGTCAACACTCTACGTCATATTCAATGGCTTTCACGGCAAATGGGGGTCTCGGTGGCACACATCTATCGAGAGGCAAATACGGTAGCGGATGCCCTTGCGTGCTCGCGCCCGCAACAGGAAGGCATTTTCACAGTCAGGGCTGAGCTTCCTCGGAGAGCCCGGTCCGCTCTCCAATTGGACAGGCTCTCGGTTCACTCGATTCGGCTTGGCAGAGTCCGCCATTAGTTTTGGCTGGACTCCTTTGGCTCTATGTAACTTTGTTCGTTCGGTGGCAATAAAAGTTGCGTAATTTAAAAAAAACAATCAGTTTAGTTGATCAAATAACTAAAATAGTTTGCTAATATATGCATGAAACACTAAATGTATTTGGTACAAGTACTGATTCCTAAACCATAAACAATGTGACTATTGCAATTAATAATAAACTCTAGTTATGCAATTGTGAGGATTTTACTTAATTTCATATTAAATTTTACTGTTCTTTGTTATCAATTTCATACTATACTAATCACTAATTTTCCATATGTTGTCAAGAGAACTAGATAGGGAATTCATGATTTTTTTTACCTTCATAACAAGTCACTAACTAAGTTTGAAACAATTATAAAATATGTATACATTTTATTACAATACCTTTCTCATTTTACTAATGAAAAACATAGGCTAAATTGTAAATGATAGGGTGCCATAATAGAATTACTGAAATTGGTTTATTACACACGAGGCTAAATTGCAAAAGATAAGGTGTCATGGTAGAATTAATGAAATTAGTTTATCACATACGGGGCTAAAATGTAAAAGATAAGGTGCCATAATAGAATTAATAAAATTTATTTACAACATATAGGGTTATATTGAAAAAATTAGGGTGGCATAGTAGAATTAATGAAAGTGAGCTAGGAACAATTACTTTAGATAGTGACGACTAATTGTTGTCACTAATTTTGAACCGGTAATCACATTGTGACAACATTATAAGTAGTCACTGTAGGGCCCATTTCAGTGACAATATTTTTTTAAATCGTTACAATGGTGATTTCCCGCCACACAGGCCAGTTGCACGCCACTCATATTGTGACGATTAATCCCGTGTTGTCACTGATGATGAGTCTATCCTCGGTCAACTATGATGATATCAAAAGTCGTCACTAAATTTGCTCAACTGTGACAACTTTTTCTGTCGTCATTGAGAATGTTGTCACAAAAGACCAAATTTCTTGTAGTGCTTCTACTAACTTCCTGCACTAGTCTCTTCCATGTTTTACTAGTCCTATGATTTCTTGTACCAGTCTTGGGCGTCTTGCATGCATAATTTGTTTCCTTCACCCTTTCTCCCCTTATCTTTCCCACCATTCCCCCTTCAAAACTGCTGTTACTCTCTCCATCAACCCACATAATATCCTTACTGCCTTCTCCCTTCTTAACATTCTCCTCTTCTATCACTTTATACCTCTGAATCCCTCCTCCCCTATCCTTTTTTGTTATTTCCTTTACTTCTTCCTGTGTATAAGGTTCTGCCTTGCTCTCTTCCACTCCTATAATCTCTTGTCTCTCTTCAAACCCACCAACTTTTCCCCTCCTAGCTACTCCATTCTGAGCATCACCTCCTACATTTGAGGTTCCTGATTTTCCAGAGGCACTGTGGAATTCTTTAGTGTAAGTTAGTAGAGGATACTGTTGAATTCCAACTTCCTCTTCTAGATTTTGTTCCCTATATCCTTCTCTCTCTGGCTTCTCATCTTCCCTCCCATTCTTGAATTTCTTCTTAGGAGTCCTAGGAAAGCTAGCTCTAAGCCAATTACCATATTGATTTTCCTTATCCATGTTCATTCTCTTCCGATGCAATTTCATTCATTATGTCCTATCAGGCCACAACAGAAACAAAAATCTGGACATTTTTCGTATTTAGATTCAATCCATCTTGTCACACCATTGCTTTTAACCATAATTCCCCTAGGTAAAGGCACTTTAAGATTTAGTTCAGCAAGAATTTTTAAATGTCTACCACCCTTACCTCCTCTCTGGGGAATAATAACCTCTCTGACACCGGTAAAGATGCCTCCTATTTTGCGCCTAGCTTCCTTCATAGCCCAATGAAGATGTATATTCCAGATCTGGACCCATACTAGAGTCTTACTAAAAGCCATCTCCGCTTCCTTCAACCTTGCTTTCCATTCCAGCAACACCAAAGGCTGACCATCATAGATCCATGGTCTTTTGCTTAGCACTAGCTCAATGTCCTTCCTACTCTCAAACATAAATTGGAACATATTGGCTCTAATCTCTGTAATTTTTAAATTTCTCAGTTAAGGCCACATATTATATGCAAAGCTCTTCATATCGGTAATATTGGCCTGTTTTCCCCCCTGGACTTTACCAATTAAACTCAGTTTGCATTCCTTTATTCCTTTTTCCAACTTCTCATTTTCCAGACAAACTCCCTCCCTTTCACTCTCGGATAAGGAGAATTTCCCCAAAACCTCCTCTATACGCTCCATCTCAGAAGATCCCACAGTCTATACTACTTCAAGTTCCAAATCTTGCAGCTCCAGTCCAGCTCTTGAAATCGCCACCGTTTTCCACTTCTCCATACTTTGTCTCCGCTGCTGAACAGTAGAGCCCTAGGATCAGGGATCTAGGATGAGGGACTTGAAAAACTCAAACAAAAGAAGAAAGAGAAAAGGAAAAAAGAAAAGGAAAGGAGAAGAATGAGAAGAAAAAAGAGAAAAAAAATCGGATTACACTTCTTGCCGAACTAGATGGATGAATTTGTATGGCTATTAACTAGAAATGCTCTTGCTATTTTAGGATAGATTGATGTTCTCAACAAAGTAGCTTAAAATGGAATGAATCTCTTTAAAGTTCAGACAGAATTCTATCAGGATAGATTTCAATTATTTTGGGATTTGGAATTTGAAAAACTGTTAGGAAACTTGCCTCCCACGATAGGGGGATTTTTCTCTCCATAATAGAGAAAAAAAACTCTCAGAGTGAGAGACTAGTTCAACGGTATATATAAAATTTAGTCATAATAAATTGCAATCAATATAAACTTTTGCTGATTAGATAGTAGTGGAACCACCTATTAGCCAATTTTAAACTCACCATTAGTGTACTTCAGGTTAATTGTCCACTAATATTGTAAAAGGTTTTAACACAAACCACAAAACAACTGAACGGATTAGTTGCTCATACAGTTAATAGGTTTAGCGTGGCGGGGACGGGATTTTTAAAAAGTGGGGCTGAACTCAAAAGATGTGGCAAATTTTACTTTACGAGTGTAAATTTGAAAATCATAAAATGTGCGTTAATTTTTTGTGACTATATCGCTTAATGATTTGGTCTTTATATATAATCCCAAATCAATGTAAATTATTTTAAACCAAATTTCTAAATGAAGAAGTTTTTTATGGTCTTTAGATGATTTTTAATAGAGTAATAATAAAAAGTTAGTCTACAAACCATAAGAAGGAAGCTATTTCCCCAATATTGGATCAAGATACATGATAATATATCAAATTCGTATAACTATTCATGTCGCTACCTTCTCATTTCTTAAAACTTCTCTTTGCTTTAATACCAAATTTCAGGGAGTTAATACATAAAGTTCTAAAAAAACATGTATTATGAAGTTAAATTATGTATATGAACTAACTAAATAGAAATCTAAAAGTATTTAAAGTCTAAAAGATAATAATTTTCATGAGGCAAAAATTAGATTGGGGGGAGGGGGGCAAAAATATGATTTTAAATGGAAAATCTTCAAAGTATTCAGGAATCAAAAGGAATTTTTCGAACTTGGGAGCAGCTGCCCCCTTGTGACTCCGCTACTGCCGACTGCCATAAAAAAAACAAAAAAGATTGACATAATCACTTAAATTTGACTGATATATGAAACAAAGTCGGTAATGCAAGAAGTTATAAATTTTAACTATTTATCCTTATTTGTCTTCTTAAAGAGGACAAACAAGACGATAAAGAAAACCCAAGTTGGATTCATTCAATTAGCCAATAAAACTGTCTGTTTCCTCTTAGAACCAGCAAGGAAAGTGAAAACATCTATGGGTTAGACCAAGGACTTTGCCGGGCTTGAAAACCTTATTCCATCCAGCAGCCACGGTTGGATGAAAAACAAGGGATTTGTGCGCCTCAATAATTGCTAAATGGTGGATAGGCAAAATTGATTTTCAACTGTTGAGATCAGTTTTTGTATAGGTTGCATGAGATAAATGTTAACATATTTGAAACGTAAAATTGTAAATTTTGATATAGGTCATATAAATTTTTTGCATGAATTATTACTTAAATGGTATGTCTATTTATGTATGAATTAATTTATTCTACATTATCAACGTATCAATTTTTTATCATTCTGAACGATTTTAAGTGATGACATATACTTTTTATTTAAATGTAAGTAATATATATATATAATTACTAGTGTAAAAAATCTTGTTGTACAAATCCATCCAAGTATTCAAGCAGTTTTGTACGATAACAGCTCAGATCAAATTTGAACAAAACAATAATAATAAAAATAAAAATGGGGCAGCCACACATTATTGGTCAAGGTACAAGGAAAGTGTCCAGCCATCAGAAGTGGGACCTTTGGACTTCAGGTAAGATGGTCCAACAAGGCAAAACGACCAGAGCAACTGGAATTTAAGTCATGTGTTGTTGGTGGGCCAAATGGAAATTTCCTTCCATTTACAACCTTTCGACCACTACATTATTTTCAAGTGTTCTCTAGTCTCCACTCCCGGCAGCTTTCTCCTATAAATTGCCACCACAAAATCCAAATCCCACACACAACACACAAACACACAAAATACACAACAAAATCCAACTCCCACGCACAAAACACACACTTTAGGCAAGAAAAGTAGCCACCACAAAGGCTAGTAAGATGGAGAACTTCCCAGTAATCAACATGAAAAACCTCAATGGTGACAAGAGAGCTTCCACCATGGAGCATATAAAGGATGCTTGTGAAAACTGGGGTTTCTTTGAGGTACTACACATTCCTTTTTTTTTTAATTTTCTTTCTGATATAAGGCAAACTAGTGTACCTCATTTTGTTTTTTTGATGTAACAAACTGCTGTACCTAGGATTCTCATGAGTTTGTTTTAATTTTAATGGTTGTAAGAAGTTTACATTATTAACTTTTGTTTCTTTTCTTTTGAAACTTTGATGTAGTTGGTGAACCATGGAATCCCACACGAGA